AAGAGAAAAGAAAAGGAGAGAAAAGAGAAAATAAAAGGAGAGAAAGAGAGAAAAAGAGAGACAAAGAGTAAGAAAGAAAGAGTATTAGAAAACACCCATTAAGATGTTCCAGCAACACAGCATAAAGCTGCACAGCAGTCTGGAGAATGATAAGCTTTTTACCTTTTTGATGGTAACGAAGAGCTAAAGATATTAAGTGGCTTAATAGCAACACAAAGAGTATGCCTCTGCCATGACTGAGTGAAACCTCAGTCTCCTCTGTCAAGTACTGTGTCTGAACCACAAAAATAATCTTTCATCTGTTTGTAGACTGATATTTAGCCGTTCTTAATGCAGCTAAGCTACCTATGTTTAAGATCAATGCTGCCTAAGGATACATTCCTGTTTTTTCTAGCCACGTCTGTGTTTGCATCTTCCGAAATAATAGCTAAAATATGCAATTAAACAATGGCACAGCATTTCCAGAGCTGCCACAGCACTTACGATACACCAGGGTTGTGTTTTTGGAGGAGCGTGTGGCATTTCTGAGGCTTTGAGGGGATTCAGTAGTGGAATCATTCAAATCTGTACAAAAAGAAATAATGCCCTTCAATTATCTTACAAGCCTGTACGTGATTGCTTTGCTAGGCTCAACTGTGGCTATTTAATACCCTTCGCTTTTGTCTGATGCAAACAACAAATGAAATAACAAAGATACCTGAAAGTCTCTAGTATAATTGCTGATTTATAAATCCAAGAAAAAAAGCCCCACCATTTAATGTAAATGAGTAACCAGAGCCAGGAAAATCTCTTTCTTATGAGATGCTGGTTCTGATCGAAATTGAGCACTCAAGTTTTTATATATATATATATCTCTATGTATGTACGAAGAGAAGGCTCCAGGGAGACCTTATAACAGCCTTCCAGTACCTACGAAGGGCCTACTGGAGGGTGGGAGAGGGACTTTTTACAAGGATATGTAGTGACAGGACAAAGGGGAATGGCTTTAAATTGAAAGAGGCTAGATTTAGACTAGATCCTAGTAAGAAGTTCTTCACTGTGAGGGTGATGAGAAATTCACACAGGTTGCTCAGAGAAGTTGTGGATGCCCCATCCATGCAAGTGTTCAAGGCCAAGATGGATAGTGCTTTGAGCAACCTGGTATAGTGGAAGGTGTCCCTGCCTGTGGCAGGGGGCTTAGAACTAGATGACCTTTGAGGTCTCTTCCAACCCAAACCATTCTATGATTCTATGTATATATTAAAAAGCCCTACCAAAATGAGTCCAATTTCAGGGCATTTTAAAAATTGGACATTAATGCAATTCAGTTCTTTTCTTCTTGTTTATTAGGTGTTTATTTTTATGGGCACAAGCATGCTAGATCTGGCATGTTAAAGTTATATATATAAAAAAAGGATATAGACATAGAGATCCCACAGCACAGTGCTCTATATAACATGCTGATGAGCACTACTTATTATAATTTACATAATAGCTTGTGTTAGAGCCTCTGAGGATTGAACTGATAATGGCAATCCCTGTTGTACAAGCCCGGTGGCCCTGGGAAAGCACAGGGACACATGCTGGTATGCCTCACCAGGAA